CAATGCCCCCGGGCGCCAGGCCCACCCAATGTCTCTCTCTCTCTCTCTCTCTCTCTCTCGGACTCTGTCACCTGTCAGCCACGACACTAAACACAGCGATTTCCCAATACTGCTCACTACTAACAATATACTGTATACTGTATACTATCTACTATCTCCTTTGGTGCCATAGTACTGTATACTATGTACTGTATACCGAATACCATACACCGTAGACTTATACATAATATGTCATGTACTATCTACTGTATACTAGCTACAAACCATGCACCATGTCATATATACTGTATACACTGTATACCAAATTTCAAACACTATGCTTTCTTACTGATTACACATGAGGTTAATATGAATATGATATATGTTTTGTTCTACCAGACTATTAAAACAGTACGCTATAGCATTTAAAACAAAAAACATAATATAGCACAGTGCAGTATGATATGCCATACCATACACAAAATTCTATACTGTGTTAAATGGTGCCATCATGGTTCATTAAGCGGCGCGTGATCATGCTAGAGGACGTTGCATATGTTACACTCTCACAACTCGGGCAATCCATGCGAGGTTCTAAGGCGTAATCGGTGTTTTCAAAGTTCAGCTTCCCGCATATGTTAGGTTATGTCATTTCATGGCATAGCATGTTCAGGTATATTGTGTTGCTATGTTTCTATTACGTGAGATGATGCTGCCATATAAAGCCATATTATGACATATCACCCTACAAGGATATGTTATAACATGTTGCATTATGCCAGGGTATACTACGCTATGTTTTGTTTTCACGGCACATTATGATATATTGTGCTATACTGTGTTGCATCTCATGCCATGTCATAGTACGTTATAGTTTGCTATGTTGTGTCATGGCGTGCCATCGTGTGCTACGTCCTGTGATGTGGTGTTACATTACGTTTTATGGCGTTCTCTTATCGCACTGCACTGTTATGCTGTGATGCTTTCTAACGCTGTTTGTTGTGATGTATTGCGTCATGTTTCAGTAGTGTATATGTAGTCTATGGTATATGGTATACAGCATGCTGCAGATAGCGTGTAAAGCCCGGATTCTGCAGTACATGGTCTTTGGTACGCGGTACATGGTGGTATCTCATCGTAAAGTACTGCCTAGTATTATTTTCTTGGGCTCTAAATGGTTGTTCCATCACTTTAGACTTTCGCGAGAAAGTCAAACGAAGACTCTCAAACTTGCGTCGAGCGGCCTGCAACAAGCTCCCTGCTTCCGTTCTCCATCCGACCCGCGCAGCTGCTGAGAAAACGTGAGGGAAACTGTTTCCCTGCTTGCCACCAGGCCATTGCTTGAAGAAGCGTGCCTCCGCAGCACAGCAATGCAGGTGCAACTCTGTGCGCCGGGAATCTCGAAAACATGCCGGTCGATGTCTGGATGAAAACAACATGGCTCTCGCAGAACAGCATGTACTTGTAGCTATTTGGGTGGCCTGATGGCCCACAGAAACAAGCTTTAGCTGCGACCGCCACCGACACTCGTCAACAAGCAATGCGCAGAGCCTTACCGTCGAGATTTAGCAGCCAGCTCCAGGCTTGGAGTTGGAACGTACCGTAAACTGTCCAAGCATAGCGAACACGACTTATTCAGTACTCCAGTGATGGAGGTAAACGGCACGTTGTCGCCATGCATGATGAGGACACTGAGATAAAATATCGTCGGCCATGCGTGCAAATCACAAGCTCAATTTTGAATCGCCTCGCATTCCCTTTAGGTCTCCTATCTTGGACCGGCAGGTGTTCCTGGTTTTGAAATTTCTTCGATGAGTTTCCAGCATGTGTAGCATCGCAAGCAGTGGCGAATATTCTGCAATTTGTCGTTTCGATTCTGACCGGGTCTGAAGGGCTCTGCAGCGAATCCACAAGACCCAGAAAGTGCACTCCCGCGCACCAGCGACCGATGGACCAGGTCCAGGGCTTTTTTCTCACTTCGCCTTAGCTTCAAAAGTTGATTGTTTCTCTTGTTCCGAGTTTACATGACAACACTGAGGACCGTGCTGGTGGACCGAGCCCAATGGGAAGGCAGCGAAGAGCCCACCCCAGGCAACGGAGCCTCCTCAGCATCTGGGTGCAGCCAACTTTTGTACAAGTAGCGGGACTATTTGCCCGGATGCAAGGTGGCATAGTTTTGCCAAGCTGCCGGAGTGAAGCCGCAGTTCCAAGCCGTGCTGAGTTTCTCCACCGTAGAAGTCTGCGATGACCTCCTCTCCGTCAATGACCTCTATAAGCTCTGCAATGCTGCAAACGAGAACACTTTGCGACAATACCTCTGTCATACCTTCCTAGTTGCCAGTCCTCCTATAAGTGCTTGTATGCCTGTCACTTAAACACCGAAGACCCCAAACAGCAGAAGCAAGACCAGAGCCACACCACACCCGCTTGTGACTGGAAGACAGCCCGTATGAAGGGAGAGAATGGAGACAAGCATCGAAACCCCTGCAACCCCCCCCCCACCACAAACCATCAGTAGTCTCTTTCATATGAAGAAGAACCGCTACAGATCCTATCATGTCTAGGCAAGTAGCAGGAAATCTTACAGGAAAGCACGGGCGACGAGGGGACACCAGCGTCGAAACTCTGGCATGACCCAGCCCGCCTGGTCTCACATGAAGGGAGACAAGTTGGCATTGGCTACCGCTACCAGTCGCAAATGAAAGGAATCACAAACCCTGTTGTTGAAGGGAGGCAATGGAAACAAGCATCGAAAGCACCTTAATGGGGAAAACCAAAACAAACTCTACACTCCGCTGCACACTGAGTGAGGACAGGAGGCGAAAAGACAAGAGGCAAGCGAAGCAGTCCCCAAGAACGAGACAAGCCTCGGCGTTGGCAACCGCCACAAATCCTAAATAAAGGGAATCAAGGGGCAAAAGGCCAACCGGCGGCATCAAATGAAAGGAGGCGGAGGGTAAGAAGCGTGGAAAACCTTGATTGGCCACCCACACGCGGCGCACAACACAGGCAGTCGCTTTCATTGGCAAAAAAGGAACCTCTAGAGTCAAGGGAGTACCGGCGGCAAACCCTGGAACCTCGACACTGGCCACCCACCGTTCCGAAATGAAGGAAGACATGGGGCAGAATACCCCGGCATTGGCCATGCGTGGAAACTTAAGGCATTGTCCAGCCCCATCCCCAACAACGGGAAACACAAAATTCTTTTTGTCTCACATGGTCTAGTCACCTTCACGAGTTTGCCCCTGATCTGAAACTTTCTTGTCTCATGTGACTGGCTTGCTCCTGTTCTCATTTTTGTCAGACACTCTGATCTCTATCGAGCCGCTTGCTGCTGCTTTCAAAGTGCTCAATTCCTTTTGACTGGTTTGCCTGTTTCTCCAGACTGCTCCTATTTGCTAAATGTTCTGGGCCCTAGGTCGTTTCGCCGAGTTCGCTCCAGTTTCACAATCCTCTTTTAGCAGGTTGCTCCTGGCTCCTGCAAAATTCGCTTCTTCGTGAAATGCTCTGATCTCGTTTTCTTCTTCGTTTCAAATTCCGCAATATTTTCGACGGCTGCTCAAACTCTCGATTCTCTTTCGATCGCTTTGTTACTGATTCTCAAGTTGCTTAATCCTTGTCGACTCCTCTTTGTCAAGCTCTCCTGGCTCTCCTGTTTCTAGCCCCTTTCGACCGGCAGCTCCTTTTTCTGTTTGTCTCTTCCGGGCGTTGCAGCTGTCTTTCAGCCTCTCTGGTTCCTTTCGACTGGCACTGCTCCTGTTTCTCAGGGTTTCCTCTTTGTCAAAGTCTCGGGTCTCTCTGGAGCTGGTTGCTCCTGTTGCTTTCGATTTTCAAGTGTTTTTGTATTCTGACCTTTCGGTGGGCTTGCTTGCTGCTCTTTCACAAAACTCTCTCTGTCAAACTCTCTGCTTTGGTTCGCCTTCCGGAATTTGAAAATTTCTGGCGCCTTTCGATTGGCCTTCTCCTCTTCCTCAAACTCTCCTCGTTGTTCATTGTTCTGGTGCCATTCGAACAGTGTTTCTTCTCGCTGTCACTTTTTTACTCTTGCAGTCGGTTTGCCACCCTTTCTCGGATTGTCTAGTCTGTTTCGACCTGGTTGCTCCTGTTTTTCAATGTCTCATCGTTGTCCTCTCTCGTCCTTTCCTTGTGTTTGTGAAAATGTCGAATCCCCTTGGAGTTGATTGCCCTGCTTTCTCCAATCTTTTCGACTGGTTCGCTCCTCTTTCTCACATCCGCTAGTCTCTTTCGACTGGTTTGTTCTCTTTCTCAACACCTCCTCTTTTTCAGCTCCTCTAACCCCATTCTAGCAGCTAGCAAAAAGCTCCAGTTTCTCATGTTGGCCAGTTTCTCTTGAGCAGTTCGCTCATGCTTCTCAGGCTCCAGGCCCATTCGATTGGTTTGCTCCGCCGTCTCAAGAAGTCATCGCCGTCAAACTTCTCTTTGGAGCGGTTTGCTCTTGTGGCTCTGATTGCCTCATCCCTCTAAGCTGGTTTCCTCATCGTTCTCAAAGTTTGTAGTCCCTTGTGCGCGTTTCTGTAGCTTTCTCCATTTGTCTTCTGTGTCAGCTTCTTCGGCCCCTTTCTAGCATTTTGCTCCTGCTTCTAATGTTATCTAATCTCCTTTGAGCGATTTGCATCTAATACATGGTTTGCTCCTCTCTCTGTCTCTCTCTCTCTCTCTCTTGGGCATGGGGGACTGTCAAATCCCCCGGGCATATTGCCCACCCAATATGTTATTGGGAGCAGGGGAGTGAACAACTCTCTCTCTCTCTTTCTTTCCACAGGG